GATGCTTTCGTTGGTTCCGTTCTTATCTATTATATAGTACTTAGATTCGCGTTGAAGAACTTTGAAAGGTCCTTCATATGTTGATTCGAGAGGTCGTCGATGCGAGTCTCGACGCACGAAAACGTGTGTACTATGTAGTAAGTCAGGTTGAACGAAAACATCAGTTGATTGTGGTCGAGTGGAAACAGATTTAACTGAACGCATTGTGTTTGTAAGCCTGTTCGCGTAGGAGGTTAGATCCATGTCCATCGAAGAGGATGAAGGATCCACGAACTCTCCTGGAAGTCGAAGGGTCGTACCATAAACGAGTTGAGATGCAGTGTATCCAATGTCAGATTTCACTGCATTGCGTATGCCTAGTAAGACGAGTGGAAGAGCGTCAGTCCACTGAGAAATGTTTGAGGCTGATAGTGACGCTTTAAGTTGTCGGTGCAAACGTTCTACTAACCCGTTTGCTTGTGGGTGGTAGGCCGTCGTTCGAAAGCGAGTGATTCCTAGTTTCATGGTAAGACAACGGAACAGTTCAGATTCAAACTGACGTCCACGGTCTGTAGTAATGGTTGTTGGGCAGCCGAAGTTTGCTACCCACCTCTCGACGAAGGCGCGAGCCACTGTTTCAGCAGTAATATCTCTGATGGGTACTGCTTCTGGCCATCGAGTAAAACGGTCTACGCATGTTAAAAGATAAGAATATCCATTTGAATCTGGTAAAGGTCCTACCAAATCCAAATGAACATGATCGAAGCGAGCATCGGGAGTTTTAAACGAGCCTAAGGAACATTTGTTATGCCTAATAACCTTAGATTTCTGGCAGCTTACACAGGAACGTGCCCACTCTCTCACATCTTTATTCATACCAGGCCAGCAAAACCGTTCTGCTATAAGCTTGATGGTTGCACGAACACCTGGATGAGAAAGTCTGTGCAACGTATCGAAGACGTTGCGTCGATATTGTTTCGGCACGATTGGGCGATCCCTACCTGTAGATGTGTCACAAAGTAAGGTTTCCTTACCTGTTCCCATCTGTTTAATGCGCAGTTTAAGTGTTGTTGAGGCCAACTCGTGCTGAAGATCACTGTCTTCTTTTTGAAGTTGGGCGAGTTTTAAAAGGTCGATTCCTTGGGAACTGTTCAAGGAATTTATACGAGACAAGGCGTCTGCGACTACATTGTTTGCTCCAGAAATGTGTCGAATATCTGAAGTAAACTGCGAAATGTAGTCCAGTTGTCGAGACTCACGTGGTGAGTACTTGTTCGAAGAAGAGCTTAAGGAGAAGTAAGTAGTTTATGGTCGGTAAAAATGATAAATTCACGGCCTTCGATATAGTGTTGAAAATGCCGGACAGCACAATACATAGCTAGGAGTTCCCTACCGAATGTGCTGTACCTCGATTCAGTGTCTAGCAACCGTCTAGAGAAAAATGCCAAAGGTTGCCAGGAGTGGTTAACCCATTGTTGTAAGACTGCTCCGATTGCTGAGTCGGATGCGTCTACTGAGATGCTAATGGGCGCTTTAGGGTCCTGATGAGCAAGCATTGCTGCTCGGGCGATATGTTCCTTAACCGTGGAGAATGCTTTTCGGGTAGTGTCATCTAGATTAATGGATTTCGCATTTCCACGAAGTTGGTCAGTAAGGGGTTTCATAAGTAACGCGCATTTCGGTATGAATCGTCTATAAAAACTTACCAGACCGTTAAACGTGCGCAATCGCTTGATGGTGGTCGGTTCTGGGTAATCCAGAATGGCCGCCACTTTCGTTCTAAGGGGTCGAATGCCATGCGCATCTATAGTGTGTCCTAAGAAGTCTAAGGATTCGGTTCCGATTTGGCATTTCTGAATGTTAACGGTAATGCCATGCTTTTGTAGTCGGTCGAAAACAATGTCCAGATGCTGGAGATGTGATTCTCTGTCCGGACTTGCTATTAGACAGTCATCAACGTATGCATGTACGAAGTTGAGACCTCGAAAAACGTCATCTATGAACCTTTGGAAAGTCTGTGCCGCGTTTCTCAGACCGAAAGGCATTCGCAAAAATTCATAGAGTCCGAAGGGCGTTATAATAGCGGTTTTTGGAATGTCTTCAGTGGCCATAGGAATTTGGTTATAAGCTTTTACCAAGTCAATTTTTGAAAAGACAGTTGCACCTTTCAAGGTAGCTGTCAAATCGTGAATGTGGGGCAACGGGTAACGATCGGGAATGGTGTTTGCATTCAATCTCCGATAGTCACCAGTTGGACGCCAATCGTTGCTGTCCCTTTTAGGGACCATGTGCAACGGAGATGCCCATGGGCTATTTGACGGTCGTATGATCCCTAAGTTTATCATATGGTCGAATTCGTTTTTCGCCAACCTTAACTTTTCGGGGGCCAGTCGGCGTGCTTTCGAGAATACAGGTGGTCCTGTAGTCGTGATGTGATGTGTAACATTGCTGGTTACACACGGCAATTTCGGTTGCGATTGGTAAATGCCAGAATATTTGTCGAGTAGTGGTTGGTAGAAGGGGTCTATAGTGTGCTTAATAGTGACTGGGGATAACCTGCAACCAGAAAAAGAAGTCAGGCAAACAGATAAATTAGTGTTTCCGTCAACTAACCTCCGTTTGCGCGTATCGATAATTAAGTTGTGGTGTTGTAGAAGGTCCATACCAATGATTGGCATAGAAACATCTGCAACAACAAAAATCCAGTGAATGGGTTTGCGTAAACCCACGTTAAGATAAACGTACCTTTGGCCATAAGTAGCGATAGGCTTTCCGTCTGCCGCCTATAGATTTAAAACAGGCTCGTGTAGCCTGTCGTTGGAATTCGCCGGGAGAACGCTAACCTCTGCGCCAGTATCTACGAGGTAGCGAACTCTCGTTATCACATCAGTGACATATAAAAGACGGCTATGTTCGCCGGCTACGGTCGCCGTTAACGCGTGCCGGCTTGGAAGTTTCCCGAAGCGTTCTTCGCGTCGACGGATTTCGCATTGGGGAAATTGCAGGGTTTTCTGCAATTTCTGGCAGACTTTCCGTACTGGTTATGGTACCAGCACCAATCAGGATTATCTGTCTCTCGAGTTCTAGATACGGATCGCCTACGTGATGTGCTTCTCCGCGGAGTAAGTGATCGTTTGCGGTCGTTACCGAGTTTGAGATAGCGCGTGAGTGTATGACACAACTGTGTTATGTCATTCTGGGTCGTTTGAGGCTTTTCTTTGACTGAAAAAACCTCGGCGTTAGGAGACCTAGTGATCTCGAGAATGCGATCGGCAGATGCCGCTAGTTCGTCTACAGCGTTGTTTTGGAACGAGACCAAAACAGCTTGCACCTGTTGAGGAAGTTTGGATAAGAAAAGTTGCTTGAATAGGCCGTCATCGAAGGTTCTTTGGCCAATGACTTCTCGCATTCTTTGCAACATGTCTGTGGCAGAACCGTGTTGCAGGTCGATGTTGTTAAGGAGTTGGTCTAACCTTTGTCGATCGGTTAGATCTCCGCGTTTAAGGATGGCCTGTTTCAGTGTTTGGTATGGATCAGCAACATCACTAGTAAACATACTAGGTGTTACGTACCTGTTGAATTCGCGCGGTAGTGCCTTGACTACTGCGAGGAATTGTGCACGCACATCGTTCACACCGTGCTCGTAGAAGTCGGCTTCTGCATAACAAAACCAGGCTTCGATGTTGTCTGGCCAGAAAGGCATAAGTTGGAAAGAGGGTGGGGACACAGTCTTTAACTTGAATACTTTAGGTGTCTGTTCAGTCATAGTAATATACCAAGTACGAAAGGTGAACGAGTGGCAAATATATATATGAACCCAAAAACACGGAAAAAAAATATCACAATGTAAAAAAAAAGAAATTAAAATAAGACAATGATATATGAAATCACAAAAAGGAACAGACTCACAGTTTACAATATGGTGTACCAGATCACGTCGGGCTCACCAATGAAGATGCCACAGGTATTCGGAGTTTGACAACGCTTTAACCAGTAACACCTTCTAATACGAAGCGCACCCACCAAGTAAAATCAAAAGACAGAAGCGAGGAGATCGAAGATATATTTGATAAGCTATCAATATATCGAGGATCGTTGGCACTAATCTGGCTAGCGATTGAGGCAGATGTTGAGCACGGCGTTCCCACACGTGATCTGGTGCGGATGCTTGACCGAGCGCCTTCCGCTAGATGAGTCCACTAAAACTATGGTCAGCATCCAATGTCGAAAACTTACAGAGCTATTTGATTTTGGGGAATTATTTACCGCTACAACTGCATGGACCTAAAATCCAGATCGACAGTGGCAATATTTCGACCTGAAGAATAAATTCATTAGAAATAAGACATACGTAGATGACCGACGTCGTCTTCTTTGTCTAAGTTGTGGTGGTTAGATGTATGCCCTTCGGAAGAATGGTGATCATCATTCTTTCGAAGGTGATCGATCACCACCACCATCTACATCCTGAAGACAAGCATGTGGTTCTGACGAACTGCGTTTACATCCATATGTACAGACATATCTGACGAAAAAGTACTTTAGAGTTGGGTCACCACTGTTCTTTTTACATGCTGACATAATGTACTTAGTATGCGTATACTGCGAAAATAATAATCAACCACAGAAGTCATATTACTTTATGTACTTCTTTCAAACAGGTCTCAAAATTGTCCCACCTTGTAAATCGTCGCGTCATCGCGATGGCATTGTCTTCGTCACTTGAAGGATTGACGTTATTAGATATAGAGTGGATGAACTGAATTCAAATCTAAAAGTGTATTAATTTGACCGCTTCTACAAAACTTCACGAATTGTCGAGGTGACGCACCAATCGTTTAACGACGGTTTGACCTTCGAGTGCTCAGCAACCTCCGTCAGTGATTGATAGCCTTGAAGGGTTGGTGATTCGGGTCCGTGGTCTTTTGTGCTTTTATAAGTTTAGTTTCCCATTGATGTTGATTAGTTATATGAACTGATATGTTATCGGTGACTAGTAGTTTCAAAGTTATTTCGTGTCAATGATTACTAGTCAACTGAAGTCTCTAGTGGATACAGCAAACAAGGATTATCCTTCAACCTTAAAGTTTTTCATGTGTTGTTCTGCCGCTTTTCTTTCAGAAACTAGTGAGTTGCTTTTGCATAACTAATTATTTAGTCACCTACCCACTTGATATACTTAAAACTCGCATTCAGGTTTATGGAGAATTACAGAGCTCATCATATCCTGGCGTTATTAAAATTTGTTCTTCTGTCATAAGAAATGAAGGTCTGTTTAAACTTTGGCAAGGATTATCTCCAGCACTCTTCAGACACATAAGTAAGTGTTTAAAGTATACTGCGTTGCCAATGTGCCAAGTATCATACGTACGATATATATTAGATTTAAATTTGTGTAGTAATGACAGAAGGCCTACGGCCTATGCTATTTCTCTTCTAGTATGCTTTTGTGAGCGTCCAGTCTTCTCTTGAATGAGTCAATTGAAGGTGCGAACACTACTGCTTCGGGTAACACGTTCCGAGTATTGATGACTCTGTGTGAACACCTGTATGCCACGGATATTTTGTTCGTTCTTTAGTTTTATACTCGCCTGCTATGTCCTTTGAGGTGTTCCGATCTAGTGGGAAGAAAAAGAGAATAAGTTAGGTCCAAAATCATTTCTTAATGTTCTAAAGGTCAAGATTAAATCTTCCCTTAGTCTGCGATAGGACAGAGTAAAGAGGTCTACCTTTTCAATCCGCTCTCTAAGTGGCAAACCGCGGAGTTCTGGAATTGCACAGGTTTTTGCCTTTTGTACCCTTTTATAGGATATCCGAGCCACCTTCTAAATAGGGACTTGCAGCCTGAACGCTGTTCTCAAGCTTAGTTCTCACCAAGGTCGTATATTCTGCAGTGATCATGGTAGTTTCTAATTTAGTGAATGTCCTTTTTAAAGCCCAGGGTATAAACTCCTTAGCTGAGACCTCCCGACAATGGGCCGTGGTCTTAAGATGTTGACTCACTGTCCCGAAGATCCTTGTGAAACCGGACCACGGGTACAGGCATTTTGCCTCGTTGATAGGCATAAGCCACTCTTTAGAGGTTAATCACAATATTTGAGTCTGCCAGAAGGACGCATGCATCTGCGTCTCCGGTCATTTCTCGCCAGACCGGGCTCAAATGACCTACCTCCGGCTCTTTTGAAAGATGGTGGTGACTTTCTGACTAAGAAACTGACGACGTTATTTACAAAGGTCTGGGAGCTAAATAGTATACCAACGTCATGAAATGAGTCGATAATTGTCCCTATCTTTAAAAAGGGTCCATGTCGTTTCTGTCCAAACTATTGGGAGACAAGTGTACTTCCGATTGCGTCCAAACTATTGGCTTCTGTTATACTTCGTAGGTTGTTCAAAACTCGAGAAAGATTGACTCGCGAGGAGCAGGCTGGTTTTCGTTCTGATCGAGGATGTGCTGATCATATCTTCACCCTCTGCCAAATGTTAAAACACCGCCATACTTATCAAAGGCCAAAAATCGTAGTCAGTTAGTCAGTAACAACGTGGAACTTTGTACGTACGTACACCAGTTCGAGTTGCCATAGCACATTAGCACAGAGATTCAGTTATCGACTGAAATCCCACCGTGTTAGAGGTAGTGAAAATATAAGTAGTGATAGGGAACATTAGGGTTTGATGATGTTATTTAAGGAGTGTAATCCAGTGGAATAGATTTGGAAAGAAAATAAAGGACATGAAGAATTCAGAAGATTAGAGTTTGAGAGAACACAGAGAGTGGATGCACGTGCGCCATTGCAAACGATTTTGAGCCATGTCATTCAAGGTTTCTAAGCATCGGTTGCTATGATCTCGCGGTCCGCAACCAGGTAGTCTACACCTACCAACGTGGCTCAGTCCACTTGTCAGTGACTTCATGGATTTGTGCCATGTTTTGGTCTGGTCGCCCCTAGCTTTCTTCCAACCAACTTCTACACCATAAAACATCGCACGTCGTGGCAGTCGGTGGTCGGGCATGCGCAATACATGTCCCAGCCATCTCAACCGAAAAAGTTTCACTACTTCATCAATTGATTTGCCATCCTTACGTAGTACCCGTTTCCTAACAACTGAGTTACTTACTCGGTGGTCCCAGGATATACGAGCAATGTTTCGAAGACACCTATGATCAAATACTAGTAACCTACGAATATCCCCTACTCTTACTAGCCATGTTTCACTGCCATAAAGTAGGACGGAACGAACTGCTGCGCAGTAAACACGTCCTTTGGTTGATTGACGGATATCTCGTCTACGCCACAAATGACGCAAGTTGGCAAAAGCTAGTCGAGCCTTCTGTATCCATGCTGAGATTTCGTCACACACCAGACCACAAGGGTTGATGAGACTTCCAAGATAAGTGAAGCGGTTGACATGCTCAACTACTTCACTCCCTATCACTAGTTCGGGTGTCGATGCAACCCAATCCTTAAGCAACATTTTGCATTTCGAGGGAGAGAATCGCATGCCGAACATGCCTGCATTGTTGCTTAGAGTGGTCAGAAGACTCTGCATTTTGTCAGCGTCTTCACCAAATAGAACTGTGTCATCGGCATATTCTAAGTCAACAAGTGGATCTCCCGGTAGAAGTTCAACTCCTGGAAATTTAGATGAGGAAAGTGTCATCTCTAAAAGGACGTCAACAACAAAGTTAAAGAAGAATGGAGAGAGTGGACAGCCCTGACAAACACTACTTGAGGTAATCAGTTCTGATGACAGTTCGCCATAAGCTCTCACTCGACCAGTTGTGTTCGAGTAGAGAGCATTTATAAGGTTAATGTACTTCTTTGGTACTCCTTTCAGTGCCACACTGCCATAGAACCTCACGATCAACCGAGTCAAATGCCGCCTTAAGGTCGAGAAATACTACCAGTGTGGGGCATCTGAATGTGTGTCTATTTTCTAGGACCTGACGTAGTGTGAATATCTGGTCTATACAACCACGTCCAGGTCGAAAACCAGCCTGGTTTTCTCTAGTCTGCATTTCACGAGCTTTGGTTAGGCGTCGAAGTGTTATTGAAGCTAATATTTTAGACACTATATTAGTCAAACTAATTCCCCTGTGATTGTCACAGGAGAACTTTTGTCCTTTCTTATAGACTGGCACAATCAGTGATTGAGATCAGTCAGATGGGATTACGTCCAGTTCCCAGATTCTACCTAAGACCTCAGTCAATCTCGCTGCTAATACTAGACCACCATCTTTAAAAATCTCAGGGGTAAACCTGTCAGTGTCTGCTGCTCTCCCATGCTTCAGATTTCCTATAGCTTTTTCAACTTCGTAAAGAGTCGGAGGACTTACATCAACTTGCCATTCAGGTCGACTGGAGATCGTGGGAAACCGAAGTGTGGCTAAAGGCCAGTTAAACTGATCCCTAAAGTGTTCTGCCCATCGATCCAATCTCCTGGATTGAGAATGGATAATATGTCCATCTTTCTCTGAGATTGTTTCGCTAACAGTTGTGTTCCTAATACCGGTTTCCTTAACAAGTCTGAACAGTTGCCTGCTGTTACCTATTGCTGCTGCCTTTTCCATCTCTCTTGCTTTCGCTACCCACCACTGTTCACGATCATTGCGTAGACTTCTGGTCAGTTTACGCTTAATCTGACTCCGCTCTTCATTATGTTCAGAGCTAGATGGAATGACTTTACGAGCATCTATCAGTGCGGTAGATGCTGCTGAGACCCAGTGTTTCTCCCTAACCTTATGGTTTACCGTACTTGCAGACATCACTGCTGTTTCTACAGCTTTTCGGATGTCATTCCACGCTGCCTCGGGGTGGGCGTCACTTACATGGCTGTCTAACTGTTTTTCTAGATGTTCCTGAAATATACTCTTAGCTTGACTATCATTAAGTAGGACCTTAAGGGGTTTCCTTGCACCATCTTTCCTACGTCCAGCAAGACGTAGACAAATACGCGCTCGCACTAGAGCATGATCTGAGTCTAAGCATGTGCTCCAGAACGAGCGACAGTCTTCTATCGAGCCCCTCCATCGGTGACTGATAGCGATGTGATCTATTTGGGTCCAGCGTTGGAACGAATTAGGGGGTCGCCATGTTAAAAGATGTTTTTCCTTATGCTTAAAGTTAGTGTTTGCAAGGAACAGGCGGTTATCTAAGCATAGCTGCAACAGACGATCGCCGTTATCTGTTCTTTGAGCCACGACACTATAGGATCCACCCAGGTGTCTTTCCTTTTCGCTTAGTTTACCTAGTTGAGCATTAAAGTCACCAGCCACTATTACTACATCTGAACGCCTAGCTTTTCAGAGACGGTCGGAAAGCTTTCTGTAAAACTCATCTTTTACATCATCTGAGCTGCAGTCAGTGGGAGAGTAAGCAGAGACGACGAAGAGGCAACGACGAGTGTCCCTATCTTTCCGAGTCCTTACTGCTCCGTTTAGTCGGACAGCACACAAACGACTGTCTACTGGGATCCAGTCTAATAGAGCTAGTTCCGCCCTAGGACTCAATTCTATACCTACGCCAGCGAGGCCACGGGAAGCGGCATCAGGGCTTCCAGATACACGAAGCGTAAATCGAGTTGGTTCGTTACTTTGACATGGTGCGGTCAAATGAATGACACTACTTGGATCCTGTGTGCGCGTTTCGGAGACGCAGCACACATCGATGGAGCGAGATTCTAAAGTTCTAGCTAAGGAAGCGTGTTGTCCTATTTGGCACAGTGTTCGGACGTTGAAAGCTCCTACGTGTAGTTTAGAGCGTGGTTTCAGGAGACCAGGAATAACATTCCGCCTACTCGAATCGTTCGCACTAGTGGGGCGTGGTGATAAACGGACGTGAGAAGGGTTAGTCGTGGAGATAGTAGAGTTATTGGGAGGTGTAGGAAGGATTTGAATGTGACCAACTTGGTCTCGTGTGCTGTTACAGGTATAAGGGCTGATGTCACTTCCCGGCTGACCACACCGTGGAAGGGTATTTCTTGAGGAACCTGAAAAGGAAATCAGATTAGTGTTGGTCTTAACGACCTGGGTGCGTGACCGCAGAGCCCAAGGGACAACTGCTTGAGGCCGGTCGCGCACGGCCTTAATGTGGGAGGTTTTTAATGTGTTAGCTCCGTTCTTCAAAGGGCCTTACCGCCGGAGACGGAAATCCGTGGGGTAAGGTGAGGTGTGACACTTTTAGGATCAACCTTTTCTAACCCCTTCCTTCCATGTGAGAAGGCAGCATCGCTGCAGATGCTGGTTGTCCGAGGGAAAAACCTTACTGCTGCCACACCTCTGTACAGTCAGCAGTACGACTTCGCCCTCAGACCTTGAGTTGCTGTTTTTAGTCTTACCGTTCTCCAATTGACCTGCCTGGCATGGTAGAACCTGCAGGAACATGTGTTCCAGCCAATATAGCTTGGTTGGGTCATCACGATAGTCAAGCCCGACCACCACGTTAAGGTAGTAGCTACGGTCGGGACTTGAAAGTCTTACTGATTACCATTTTTGAAATTCATCTGTTGCAATATTAGAAGTTATTTAACATACTAATTTTTTTTATCTTTAAGAGTTTTGTTTCGTTTTTTACATGGTATATTATTTTTTCATAGTTTATACAGGAGCAAGGATGCCAATCTATGAAATTATTCGCCAAGATATTTTCCATTTACCTCCTGCAAGTCATTTCACCGTAAAATCAACTAAGAATTCTTTCTCAGGTGTGTATTTTTAAATCATGATCTATTTGCCACAGATAAGTCACATGTTATATCTAAACAGAAACTATCTGCCACGGAAAAAACGAACACTGAACTAATTCATGAGAATAATCCAAACTTTGTTATTCAAGCAGCTTGTACTGGGGTAATAGCTGGATCTTTTGCTCAGTTCTTAGCAAGTCCCATTGATCTGATTAAGGTAATTCATAAAATTATTCTTTTTTGATGAACATTTTATTGATCACATGGCGTTTGATGTTGTATTTAGTTTGCTTTTTATACATGAAAAAGATCTCAGATTTTATGATATCGATATGATTATATGATCATACAACTTCACGACATTCATTATATGCAGATCCAAAATATACTTTTACGAGCAAACGAACTAATTTAAAAGTCCATTGGAAAGTGCTTCGGTTTAATTCCTCACATTATTATTATTATTAGTAGTATTTATTTTATTTATTTTAACACATAGATATTGGTACAAGGAGGCACCAAATACATATGCGCCATACAGATCTCATTTGATATGTGTGAGGGCTGTGATACTTCCCGGGTGCCCAAACCGAAGCAGGTGGTTTTCTTAGGGGGCCATAGCCCGAGATTTTGACCTAAATGTCTAACCCACAAAGCAGTGGAGCATCGTAAGGAGATGCAGTCCCATGGTAGTCATTTGTTCTTTCAGGATGCCGCAGCCCATGTGCACCATTGGTTTGGGATCCAGTTAAGGCGCCGGACATTCGCTTTTCGTCCTCTCATTTTCGTAGACAACACCCGTGCCACGAGAAGGCAGTGAGTATTACTTCGCTGATAGAGGCTATATACGCGTGGCCTTGTGAGAGCATTTCGAGAGGGAGAGCAGACTCTTCCCACTCTCGACCATACCAGGGCATTTGGGGGCTTATTATTAGTGGCTTTATTAAATATTATATTTTTGGTAAAATATCAAATTCTCAACACAAAGTATTTCAACAAGTTCCCTTTTCTTATTTTTTGATTGATCTTTGCGATAAATATTGAATGGTTGTCGTTTAAATGTTAGCATTTCAGTCAGTTGACATTTGAATAATGTTTATTCTTTTCGATCCATATTACCAGCAACCACGGTGTTTCTGATTAGTACAATGAAATGTAGTAAACGTTTTATAAACTCACCTGAATATAGGTTATGAGACTAATAGGTATGATAATGTGTTAAAATTAATAAGCAAAAGATAACTTGTTGAAATATCCAGATGGCAGGAACAGGTAGCCCAAATATTCAAGCAGGTCTAAATACAGTGATATCAAACTAAAAAAAATGAAACAGGACCAGAAAGGAAAATTACTGAGGATTAATAAAATGTTAAGGATAGCATGAGAAAAAACACAGTATTAATCATTCATTATATCTGGGTTTTTGTACTCATTCTCGAACTGTATTTTATTTGTGATGAATGTATAAGTCTATAGAAAGATAGATCGATGTTCATCTATAAATTTACTTACTTTTGTTGTTATGACTTCTTTTGTGGTGTGTGCTACTTATGTAGAAGTATGGGACTCCCCAGCATTGAGCGGAAGATCGAAGGTCCTTGGTTCAAACCCCGTGTGCGGAGTCGTGGATGCGTACTGCTGACGAGTCCCATATCCAGACGAAACGGCTGTCCAGTGCTTCCCGGTTTTTAATGATGATCTAACATTGATCGGTTCATGATCTCAATTAAAAATCGACAATCTCCACAACCATGTACTGATATTATTATGATTAAGTAATAAACCAGTGCTACCTTGACGTGGTGGTCGGGCTTGCCTATCGTGATGAAACAACTGAGCTATACTGGCTGGAACAACCGTTCCTCAAGGTCCTACCATGCCAGACAGGTCGGTTGAAGAGCGGTAAGACTAAAAGCAACAAAACCAAGGTCCGAAGGCGAAGTCGTACTGCTGACTGTACAGAGGTGTGACAGCAGTAAGGTGTTTCCTTCAGACAACCAGCATGACAGCGATGCTGCCTTCCCACAAGGAGGGGTGGGGTTAGAAAAGGTCGACCCTAAAAATGCACACCTCGCCTTATCCCACGGATATCCGTCTCCGGCGGTAAGGACTCAACAAGTACGGAGCTAACACAAAAATCACTCATAAAAAGGTCGTGTGTGACCGACCTCAAGCAGCTGTCCCTTGGGCACTGCGGTCACGCTCTCAGGTCACTATGACCACCTCTAATCCAATTTCCTTTTCAGGTACCTCCAACAGAACCCTTCCACGGTGTGGGCAACCGGGAAGTGATAACCGCCCTCATACCTCTAACAGCACTCAAGACCACTGTATTCATAGTCAACCTCCCTCTTCAATTCCTATTATTCCTCCTACATCGACTTTATACACTAAACTTCCTCTTTTAGCTTCCTCCTCAAGTGTCACCACAGCCAACGATTCTAGTGCTCAAAACACTGTCCCAGGTCTACTGAAACCTCGCTCCAAACTATACATTGGAGCCTTCAACGTACGCACACTATGCCAAATCGGTCAGCAGGCTTCCTTGGCTAGAACCTTAGAATCTCGTACCATTGATGTATGCTGTGTCTCCGAAACACGCATACAGGATCCTAGTGTGGTCATTCACTTGACCTCACCTCGGCAAAACGGAGTGCCAACGAGATACACCCTCCGTGTATCTGGCGACCCGATGGCTAGTTCTCGTGGACTGGCAGGTGTAGGCATAGCACTTAGCATGAGGGCGGAACAAGCGCTATTAGAGTGGATCCCCGTTAACAGTCGTCTATGCGCTGTTCGGCTAAACGGCTCCGTAAGAACTCGGAAGGATAGGGACACACGTCGTTGCCTTTTCGTCGTTTCTGCCTACGCTCCCACTGACTGCAGTTCGGATGAAGTGAAAGATGAATTTTACAGAAAGCTGTCTGAACTTCTTCAGAAAGCTAAATGTTCAGACATAGTACTCGTAGGAGGTGACTTTAATGCCCAGGTAGGTAGCTTAAACAAAACAGAAAGACATTTAGGTGGGTATTTTAGTATTCCGGCACAGCGAACAGACAATGGTGATCGTCTGCTGCAACTGTGCTCAGACAATCGTTTATTCTTAGCAAACTCAAATTTTAAGCATAAGGAGAGACACCGTCTAACATGGCGACCCCCTGCACCAAACCAACGATGGACTCAAATAGACCATATTGCCATCAGTCATCGTTGGAGAGGGTCAATAGAAGATTGTCGCTCATTCTGGGGTACCTGCTTGGACTCTGATCATGCCCTAGTACGAGCACGCATCTGCTTGCGCCTCACTGGACGCAAAAGAGCCACACAAAAAAGACTCATTAGAACCGAATCGAGTAATGAGAAAGCCAAAAGTAGGTTCCAGGAACAACTGAGGTCACACTTAGGTAGTTCTGAAAACGAGACTGACCCAGATGTTGCTTGGAAAGTTATACAAGCAGCTGTGGAAACAGCAGTGACATCTACCAGTGATTTAAACCAAATGGTTACAAAAAACCAATGGATTTCGTCAAGGTCTATTGCACTGATAGATTCTCGCAAACTCATCCCATCAGGTTTTGAATACGATGAAGAGCGTAAAGAAATCAAATCTAGATTAAGCAAAAGTCTAAGGAATGATCATGAGCAGTGGTGGGCAACGAAAGCAAAAGAGATGGAAAAGGCGGCGGCTATAGGGAACACAAGACAACTCTACAGACTAATAAAAGAAACTGGAATTAATAAATCAAGTGTAAGTCAGACCATTTCGGAAAAAGACGACACTCTCATCTGCTCCCAGTCCAGACGCTTAGAACGATGGGCGGAACACTTTAAGGAGCAGTTTAGCTGGCCTTCAGCTACTCTACAACTACCCTCTATTCCCAGACAGTGTGAATGGAACATTGAAGTAGGTCCCCCAACTCTAGCTGAAGTTCAAGAGGCTATAGTTAATCTGAAACGAGGAAGGGCAGCTGGTCCAGATGGATTGGCCCCAGAGGTCTTTAAGGATGGTGGTCTAGTCTTAGCGATTAGGTTGACTAATATTTTAGCTAAAATCTGGGAGTTAGACGTCATCCCATCTAACTGGTCACAATCACTTATCGTCCCAATATTTAAGAAAGGGTCAAAATCATCCTGTGACAACCACAGAGGGATTAGTTTGACTAATATAGTATCTAAAATACTAGCTTCGATAATTTTCGGACGCCTAACTAAAACTCGTGAACTGCAAACACGTGAAAATCAGGCTGGCTTCAGACCTGGTCGTGGCTGCATCGACCACATATTCACCATTCGTCAGGTTCTAGAACACAGGCATGCTTATCGGCGTCCGACAATGGTGGTATTCCTTGACTTAAAAGCAGCGTTTGACTCTGTTGACCGAGAGGTTCTGTGGCAGTGTCTGTCATTGAAAGGCGTACCTCAGAAGTACATAAACCTTGTGAAGGCTCTTTACTCGAACACTACTAGTCGGGTCAGAGCCTATGGCGAACTGTCATCTGCTTTTGCAACCTCAAGTGGCGTCCGTCAAGGCTGTCCACTTTCTCCTTTTTTGTTTAACTTTATCATAGACATCCTGATGGAAATAACGCTCTCATCGACTGAATTCTCAGGTATTGATCTCCTTCCAGGAGGTCCACTTATTGACTTAGAATACGCAGATGACATAGTCCTGTTTGGTGAAGACGCTGATAAAATGCAGAGTCTTTTGGTAGCACTGAGCAACAATGCCAGAATGTTTGGGATGCGCTTTTCTCCCTCCAAATGCAAGTTGTTGCTTCAGGACTGGTCTGCATCAACACCTGAACTTAGGATAGGGAGTGAAGTAGTCGAACGCGTTGACAACTTCACTTATCTTGGAAGTCTGATCAGCCCTAATGGGTTGGTGTCTGACGAAATCTCAGCACGGATTCGAAAAGCTCGCTTGGCCTTTGCCAACTTACGTCATCTATGGCGAAGACGAGATATCCGTCTATCAATTAAGGGACGAGTATACTGCGCGGCAGTTCGTTCCGTCCTTCTATACGGCTGCGAAACATGGCCTTTAAGAGTGGAAGATATTCGTAAGTTACTAGTATTTGACCACAGGTGCCTTAGAAATATTGCGGGTATCTGCTGGGATCACCGGGTAAGTAATAGTGAGGTTAGACGCAGGGTATTAGGGAATGATGGTAAATCAGTTGATGAGGTTATGAATCTTCATCGACTGAGATGGTTGGGTCACGTGTTGCGTATGCCTGAACACCGATTACCACGACGCGCAATGCTGACTAGTGCAGGGGATAATTGGAAGAAAGTTAGGGGCGGCCAAACCAAAACGTGGCATCAGTGCTTGAAGTCACTAACTTCTGGTCTGAGCCATGTTGGGAAATTCAGACTGCCTGGTTGGGGTCCGCGTGACTATCGTAACCAATGGTTGGAGACTCTTGGTGACATGGCTCAGAATCGATCACAATGGCGTCGGTGTATACACTCTCTGTCTTCCTTAAATTAAGAGATTAAAATCGCTTCATATCTGTCTAGGAACTTATTCTTTCTTCCTTTACTATCTCCTTATACACAATCTTTCTTCTATATATTACCACCACTGAATTAACTACTCCTATGAATCCGGTGTTCATCTTGTTGTGCTAATGCGGTATGGCAACTTGGACCGATGCATATACGTGCCTGGTCCTACGTTGCAGCTGACTGACTGACTGACTACTTATGTAGACATAAGTAGTATATGACGTGAGCACTGAACAGAATGTCTGGCGGCAGAGAGATAAGAAGATCGAACATTAAAGAATGAAGACAAAAGGCAATTTGTATGGAAATGCAAGAACAAGGGGATTCTGAGTGATTTGAGACAATTGATGAACAATTTGCAAATTAACGATTCAATATATGGTTGTTTGATTTTACTAACTAGTTCTGTAATTGGTTGTTAAATACATTGGATTGTCCCCACTGGTGTTTTATTTCACTACATTTGGTGTCGCTGCCAACCAGGAGAGGAGGAGGGTGCTGTTCTGCGGACGCCGTTGCGGGCCTGGAGCTGAGGCGCAGGTTAGGGCAGTCTGGTGCGGAGAGGTGGCGTCTGGTGGAGTGTTCTGGCGGGGCGGCGTTGGCCGTAGCGGGTGCTGTCGACAGAGAGGAGCGGTGGGACGTGCGGCTGCTGGGCGGACATCGGATGTAGATGGCTCAGCAGGCCGGTGGAGCACAGGAGTAGACGTCCCAGGTGCCGGGTGGGGGTCGGATGTTGGTTCCCCGGCAGGTCGACGTAGCTATGGAGGTCAGCGCGCCGCAGACTCGACATTTTGACGGAGGGCGTAGCACAGACTGCAGATGGAAGAATGTTGCACGGCGAGCATGAACCACCACAAGAACGAATGCTTTTCAAGGGGGACGAGTGTGGTGTGTGCTACTTATGTAGACATAAGTAGTATATGACGTGAGCACTGAACAGAATGTCTGGCGGCAGAGAGATAAGAAGATCGAACATTAAAGAATGAAGACAAAAGGCAATTTGTATGGAAATGCAAGAACAAGGGGATTCTGAGTGATTTGAGACAATTGATGAACAATTTGCAAATTAACGATTCAATATATGGTTGTTTGATTTTACTAACTAGTTCTGTAATTGGTTGTTAAATACATTGGATTGTCCCCACTGGTGTTTTATTTCACTACACTTTTATTAAGACCCAGTTACTCTTATTGCCTAGTAGTCTTGGCTACTACTTTGCTCAATAAGTTCTCAAGTCAGAACACAGTTGAACAGAGACATAATTATATTCCAAATAAGATGGTTGGGTGGAAGTAAGAATCGCAATAGGAAAAACGTTAATATATTTATAATTTTCACATTAGATTCTAGAGTCTTCCCCAAGTAGTCGCTAGCTCTGATTAGTTAGGAAATAGCTAGTCAACGTGCTCTAACACAATCGTGGACGGAACATGTTTTAATCCAATCTATGTCCTGCTAACATTCCCGGAGCAGGTTTTGTTGATCGCACAAAGTGATCAATTTTATTGTCGAAAACTTTATGTCGGTCGTTTATAGTAATTTTCACCAACGCATTATTATAATTTGTTTAAATTTAGATTGGTACATCTTTGTTATGAAATATCTAAAATTCATCATTTATCAAAAAATTGTAATTTTAATAAAACAAAGCATTTATTTAAAGATAGTAATTTTATTGTTTCGTTCAGGTTCGGTTGCAAACAGAACGCAGATGGATGTCAGAACAACATCTGAATAATTACAAGCCTTCTAAGCCTACTGAATTGCCCACTGGTCATCAGTAAGTAAGTTTCACAGGTTCAGTGTGAATTATGATAGCTTTCATAAGGTTAGGCATATTAGAATTCGATGACTAGATGCTTCCTTTTATCACTAAATTGCTTGATTTCAGTGTTTTAAGACAAACTTTTGCTGTCATATTTTCATATTTTATTATCTTCAATGTTATCATCAAGTTATTCAGGTCATGACTAACCGTTCGGTCTATAATATTTACAACTAAATATAGTAATGTAATGTTTGTAAGTGTTGCGATGTGTGATGTGCGAGTACTGATAGTGATACACAATCTTCCTACACACGAGCCCAACCATGCTATTCAAGTGAAAAAATGACATTTGGAAGAGGATTCTATTGACTAAAACGTGCATGTCTCATCCCTTGAAAATAAAAACTGTTTCTTGGCTAATCACACTTGCCCCCAAATGCCCTGGTACGGCCGAGAGTGGGGAGAGTCCGCTCTCCCTCTCGAAATGCTCTCACATGGCCATGCGTATATAGCCTCTGCCAGGGAAGTCCTACTCACTGCCTTCTCGTGGCGGGGGTGTTGTTTACAAAAATGAGAGGACGAAAAGCGAATGTCCGGCGCTTTAACCGGACCCCAAACCAATGGTGCACATGGGCTCCAGTATCCTGCGGGAACAAATGGCGTATGAACCAATCGTTGGTCACCGGCTACCATGGGACTGCATCTCCTCACGATGCTCCACTGCCTTGTGGGTCAGACGTTCAGGTCAAAGGCTCGGGGTGTGGCCCCTAAGAAAACCACCTGCTTCGGTTTGGGCACCCGGGCAGTATCACAGCCCTCACACAAATCAATTGAGATTTGTGTGGCGCATATGTATTTTGGTGCCTCCCTGTACCTATACTTATGTGTTAAAATAAAATAATAAAATAAAATAACTTATCATCTGGCCAATTTCTCGTTGGCCCAATGTACCCGTCTGGTCCCTTAATTCTAACCGTCCCAAACTGCAAAACTGGGTGACACGAGTTCGAATTTCATAGGGAGCATCAGTTCCTTCAAGATTATAGGTACGTTTGCATGGTTTCCTACCCGTATATCTCCAACTACCTCACACCACAGCATATTACACGCGATTTGGGGTTACTTAGACTAGTGACCACATTACAAGCTGATGAATGGAATTATGGTCAGCATTGAAGGACTTGAAGAACGTGACATTGATCACTATTCCGTGGTCAGTCAGTTACATTTTAATTAGTTTGATTTGTGCTATGAACAACTGAGTTTTTACATTTTTTGACCATGAACCTGCTAATTGAATAATTGTGTACAGTAAAAGAAAGTTCCCGATCGTTGCTACTTCCTTGACGTGATGGTCGCTCTTGACTATCGTGATGAACCAATCGAGCTATACTGGTTGGGACAATCTTTCCTCAAGGTTCTACCATGCCAGACAGATCGGCTGAAGAGCGGTAAGGCTAAAAGCAGCAAACCCAAGGTCTGAGGGCGAGGTCGTACTGCTGACTGTACATAGGTGTGACAGCAGTAAGGTGTTTCCTTCAGACAACCAGCATAACAGCGTTGCTGCATTCCCACAAAGAAAGGGTGGGGTTAGAAAAAGTTGACCCTAAAAATGCACTCCTCGCCTTATCCCACGGATATCCGTCTCCGGCGGTAAGGTCTCAACAACTACGGAGGTGATACGAAAATTACTCACACAAAGGTTGAGTATGACCGATCTCAAGCAGTTGTCTCCTGGGCACTGTGTCACGCTCTCAGGTCAATATGACCACCTTCAATCTAATTTCCTTTTCGGGTACCTCCAGAAGAACCTTTCCACGGTGTGAGCGACCGGGAAGTGATAACCGCCCTCATACCTCTAACAACACTCAAGATCACCGTATTCATAACCAATCTCCCTCTTCAATTCCTATTATTCCCTCTACATCGACTTTCAACACTAAACTTCCTCTTTTGACTTCCTTTTCAAGTGTCACCATAACCAACGATTCTAGTGCGCAAAACATTGTCTCAGGTCTACTGGAACCTCTCTCCGAACTACACATTGAAGCCTTCAACGTACGCACACTATGTCAAATCGGCCAACAGGCCTCCTTGGTTAAAACTCTGGAATCTCGTACCATGCATGCCGAGTCTCCAGAACACTGACTGACTAGAACACATGCAGGATCCTAGTGTGGTCATTCACTTGACCTCACTGACATGATAAGGCCAAAATGGGGAACCGAAGAGATGTACCCTCTGTGTATGTGACGATCCGATGGCTAGTTCTCGCGGACTGGCAGGTGTAGGCGTAGCACCAAGTATGAGGGCAGAACAAGCACTATTAAAATGGATTCTCGTTAACAGTCGTCTATGCGCTGTTCGTCTAAACGGCTCCGTATGAACTCGGAAGTATAGAGACACGCGTCGTTGCCTTTTCATCGTTTCTGCCTACGCTCCCACTGACTACAGCCAGGATGAAGTGAACGATGAATTTCACAGAAAGCTTTCTGAATTTCTTCATAAAGCTATACGTTCAGACATAGTACTTGTAGCAGGTGACTTTAATGCCCAAGTATGTGATCTAAACGAAACAGAAAGACATTTAGGTGGGTATTTTAGTATCCCGGCCCAGCGAACAGATAATGGTGATCGTCTGTTGCAACTGTGCTCAGACAATCGTTTATTTTTAGCAAACAGAAATTTTAAGCATAAGGAGAGACATCGTCTAACATGACGATCTCCTGCACCAAATCAACGATGTACTCAAATAGACTATATTGCCATCAGTCATCGTCGGAGAGGCTCGGTAGAAGACTCGCTCGTCCTGGAATACGTGTTGGGACTCCGATCATGCTTTAATACGAGCACGCATTTGCTTGCACCTGATTGGACGCAGTAAAACCACATTAAGAAGACCCATTAGAGTTGAACTCAGTAACGAGGAAGCCAAAAGTAGATTCCAGGAACGACTGAGGTTACAGTTAGGTATTTCCGGAAACGAGAATGACCCAGATGTTGCTTGGAAAGATATACAAACAGCTGTGGAAACATCAGTAGCTTCAGTTAGTGAAATAAATCAATCAGGCTCTGAACACGATGGAGAGCGTAAACAAATCAGATCTAGGTTAAGCAAAAGTCTAAGGAACGACCGTGATCAGTGGTGGGCAACAAAGCCAAATAGATGGAAAAGGTGGCGACTGTAGGTAACAGAAGACAGCTCTACAGACTAATAAAAGAAACTGGAATTAATAAGTCAAGTGTAAGTGAGACTATCTCGGAAAAAAACGACACTCGTCTGCTGCCAGTCCAAACGTTTGAACGATGTGGAGAACATTTTAGGGAGCATTTCAGCTACTCTACAACTACACACCATTCCCAGATAGCGTGAATAGAACATTGAAGTAGGTCCCCTGACTGTAGCTGAAGTTCAAAAGGCTCTAGTTAATCTGAAACGAGTTAGGGCAGCTGGTCAAGATGGATTGGCTCCAAATGTCTTTAAGGATGGTGGTCTAGTTTTGGCGATTAGGTTGAATTGAATAATATTTTTAAACTGAAATCTGGGATTTGGACGTAATCCCACCTGACTGGTCAGTCAGTCAGTAATAACGTGGAAGTTTGTACGTACGTACACCAGTTCTAGTTGCCATAGCACATTAGCACAGAGATTCAGTTATCGATTGAAATCCCACAGTGTTAGAGGTAGTGAAAATATAAGTAGTGATAGGGAACATTAGGGTTTGATGATGTTATTTAAGGAGTGTAATCCAGTGGAATAGATTTGGAAAGAAAATAAAGGACATGAAGAATTCAGAAGATTAGAGTTTGAGAGAACACAGAGAGTGGATGCACGTGCGCCATTGCAAACGATTTTGAACTATGTCATTCAAGGTTTCTTACCATCGGTTGCTATGATCTCGCGGTCCTCAACCAGGTAGTCTACACCTACCAACGTGGCTCAGTCCACTTGTCAGTGACTTCATGGATTTGTGCCATGTTTTGGTGTGGTCGCCCCTAGCTTTCTTCCAACCAACTCCTACACCATAAAACATCGCACGTCGTGGCAGTCGGTGGTCGGGCATGCGCAATACATGTCCCAGCCATCTCAACCGAAAAAGTTTCACTACTTCATCAATTGATTTGCCATCCTTACCTAGTACCCGTTTCCTAACAACTGAGTTACTTACTCGGTGGTCCCAGGATATACGAGCAATGTTTCGAAGACACCTATGATCAAATACTAGTAACCTTCTACACCATAAAACGTCACACGTTGTGGCAGTCGGTGGTCTGGCATGCGCAATACATGTCCCAGCCATCTCAACTGACTGGTCACAATCACTGATTGTCCCAATATATAAAAATGGGTCAAAATCATCCTGTTATAAACATAGAGGGATTAGTTTGATTATTATAACATCTAAATTGCTAGCTTCAATAATTATCGGGCGCATAAGAGAGACGCGTGAACTGCAAACTTGAGAAAATCAGGATGACTTCAGACCTGGTCGTCGCTGCATCAACCACATATTCACCATCCGTCAGATCTCAGAACACTGGCATGCTAATGGTGGTCTTTTTTGACTTAAAAGCGGCATTTAACTCTTGACATAATCGTGTTTGATGAAGACACTGATAAAATTCAGAGTCTTTGGTAGCACTAAGCAACAATGCCAGAATGTTTGGGATGCACAACTCCCTTTCTAAATGCTAGCTGTTGCTTCAGGACTGGCATGCGTCAACACCTGAAGTGAAGGAGTCGAACGTGTCGACAACTTCACTTATCTTAGACGTCTGATCAGCCCTAATGGGTTGGTGTCTGACGAAATCTCAGCACGGATTCGAAAAGCTTGTTTAGCTTTGCTAAAGTACATCACCTATGGCGAAGGCGAGATATCCGTCTATCAATTAAGGGACGAGTATACTGCGCGGCAGTAATGGCTTCAGCAATAATAATTATAGCTTTGGATATGTTCTTCGTATACTATATGACAATCTATTTGTTAGTTTCCACATTTGATTGCATGTTTGTTGATGGGTTTAATAAACATTTTTTAATGTTTATTTTTATTATTTATTTATTTGAACACATAAATATTGGTACAAGGGGGGCACCAAATATATATGCGCCACACAAAACAATGGTAATTTGAAGAGAAGGAGAAAAGAGAAAAAAAAAGTAATGAACGTGGGGAATTATAAATAAAAAAGGGGGGGAGAGAGAACAATGGTGGGGGAAACGGAAAGGTACAATCAGAAGAGATCTTTTAGTTAAGGAAGATACAACCACTTTTTATGAAGAAAGTAAGAGGTTACAGCACGATCGCCTTTGGCTTCTATTCTGAGCCATATCTGATAACGTCTCTAGCCACTGCGTTACACCGTCTCTCGGACCCCAACCAGGGAGTCGTGAAGGACCAACAGAAGCTAGCCCTTTGCAGCTTTCTTTCATGCCACGACACCATGTCATATACTGGAGTTTTGTGTATAGCCAATTTTTTCAAAAATCAGTTATTAGATATTTTTATTCATTTCTCTGTATGTTAGGTGCGCTGCAGTGTGTACTTCGCCTCTGTTGTTTTTCCCACGTTACATAATCAGGCAACTTACTTCAATACTTTCCCAGCTGTTATTTTACGGAATATTTAGTGAATTCTATTACGTTATTGTATAAATAATCAATTTAACCAGAAATATTTTCATTTGTTCTACTGTTAGACGCTTAAGTTTTACGCGTACAGCTAAGCAAATTATTTCCGAGGGTGGAATTATTGGATTGTGGCGTGGAGGATTACCTAGTGTTCAACGTGCAGCTCTTGTAAATATGGGTGAACTTACCACTTACGATACATCAAAGCGTTGGTTTGCCGTGCGTTTTCAATTAGAAGTGAGTTGTGTTGAAGATCCATTTATGTCTTATTATTTGTTTAGGAAAATATCTTTGAAGTTTTCATTTGTTAGACAGTTTAATAGATATTGTACTCTAATTTGTGGTTTCATCAACGAGGTACACTTTTGCATTCTTTTACAATACAACACATACACTCAGTCAGTCCTAATCGTCGTAAATCCTGGCACATGGTTTAAGTTGACATCATATCAACACAACGTGACGAAATTATCAAGTACAAGACTAGTAGAAATTCAAGCGTTAGTAAAAATTGTTAGACACATATATTTAAGAGAGAAAAAAGTTGTGGAATAATGAGGTATAAAGCTCAAAACTTAAGAAAGAGCCAAAGGTGAATGCATGTACGCCTTCGTGACCGATTTTTATCCATGTTACCCAACATTAATCATTGGTCTCGATACTCACATAAACCACAACCAGATAGCCTACACCATCCATCTTGGTTTAATCCATTAGTCTGTAATCTCATTAATTAATGCTATATTTGAGTTTTACCACCCCTAGCTTTCTTCCAAACTACTCTTACACCAGGAAATATCCAAATTAATTAGCAATATTAAAACATTTTAATTAGTGTGTAAAATGCATTGAGTTATAAAGTATTTACGACACAAATATTAACACTTGTATTAGTCGTTTGAATATTCCCATTGACGTTTAGGACTGTAATTGTTTAGTCTCTTATTGGTATATGCACATCGTGTGCGGATTGCCTTGATACTGCTAACGAGTCCCAAATAAGATGAAGTGTGTGTCTTGGATTCCACTGCTATCCCCCATCCTTCTTTACAAATACTATGATTTCTGATTTATATCGAATTATTAGTAAGAGACTGGACAATTTCAGTCCTAAACATCAATGGGAAGATTCAAATAAAACAATATCAAGTGAATTAAACTTCACCCGATTGCACTAGCAAGTGGCTATCAGGACTCAGTAGCTAAGTGGATAACGCGATGTCGTTTGAAGCGGACGGTACTGGGTTCGAGTCCCAGAGTGAACATCAACTCTGAGATGCAGGTACATCCAACTGACGAGTCCCAAATAGGACGAAACGCGCGTCCTGGATTTCACTGCTAGCCACTATCCATCTTTGCTTATAATGCTTGTAGATTAAGGCAATATCGAGGCATAAGCACAATATGCACATATGCCAATAAGCGACTGGACAATTTCAGTCCTAAACATCAATGGGAATATTCAAGTAAAACAATATCAAGTGAACTAAATTTATTTGTTAAAAATGTTTAACTCATAACCCTAGAAGAGACCAGTGTAAATGGAATTACGTGTTGAATTGTTATTTTTTTGACGTAGGATGGTACACTACTTCATGTTTGTGCATCAATTACGTCTGGTTTTGTCGCGGCAGTACTTGGGACACCAGCTGATATGATAAAAACACGAATGATGAATCAACGTATAACAGCATCGTCATCAATAAATGGAAGCGGTCTATTATATGCCGGAGTGATTGATTGTTTTCGTAAAACTGTTAAAAATGAGGGATTCTCAGCTTTGTACAAAGGTTTCTTTTTAATATGGGCTCGTATGGTAAGATGTTTTATTTTTATCGAAATTTTTCTGATGATTAAAGGAAGTAATTTTGACAGTTACTCAATGCTTCACTTAATGATTGATAAATACAAATAATATAATAAGATGCACTTACGTACGCATGTTATCCCTCATGGAGGAGCATAGGTCGCTCACCAGCATTCTGCATCCAACTCTTCCCTGGGCAATCCTTTCCAGTTACTATTCATCGTTTTCATGTCTGCTTCCGATTCCCGACACAATATGTACTTTGGCTTTCATTTTCTTCATTTCCCTTCAGGATTCCAAGTTGGCGCTTGCCTCATGTTGCAACTTGATGATTTCCTCATTGTGTGTCCTATCCACTTCCAACGTGTTTTGCTAATTTCTTCCTTCTTGTTTTTATTTCTTGAATCTTGTCTAAGTTTTCTATAGAGATCCATTTCTTATGATGATATTTATTGCTTCATCCTGGCACATCCTGACACATTGAAGTTAGCGCTTCGTTGATAAGATACAACTTATTTGAAACTGTTCGGTTGCTTTAGTGGAAATATTTCCGTGCAACTATGCAACCATGCACATACTTTTGTACACTCAACTTTAAAGTGTATTTTTTATTGTTTATGATCATGATTGTAAATAGTAATAGTACTAAACTGTAAGAATTGTAATAGATGATGAGATGAAGTTTAGACTTTCTACACAAGATTCAAAGATTGAATTCTTTTAACACATTATTATCAATAATCAGATTTTCCTCATAACTATACTATATCATGTATGTGTTGATTTGTTAATTTAGAATACATTGTAATCATAGGAAAACATTCAACCTCGTCCTGAATCAATTCATACCCTCTTAGATAAAATCTGCATATAAACACGTATTTCTATTGACTTAGCTTATTCACCATGTCAAATCCACTATGTGGTTGCATGCAAGTTATTCTTACCAATTAGATACTAATTATAAGATACATGTGTGGTGCATGCTACTTATGCTGGCAGATATAAATAGTATGTAGCAACAGTCGGAAATGGAATCCCTGTTAACAGAAAATCGCCATGAGGAGAACATGAAAGAAATCTGAGAGCCATTGTAATAGCAGCATAATTAGAGGAATAATGGAGTGTCTTAAAGACAATGCTAAGAAGATGTGCAAATGATGTATTTAATGTATGATAAATTGGTTTTCCTCACCTTAGTTTTCGTTCACTGTGGTTTAAATTTTACGCAAACGTTTATAGTAACAATATTGAATGGTTCCCTAAAGGTCATTGCTATAATATAGTTTTACCTTTATTCAAGTCATTTATATATATATATATAGGTATATATAGGTATATTGTAGATTGTTCTAATCCTGTTTCTTATCACAATTCATAATTTCTTTTATTTTTAATTTAATTTACAGGCACCTTGGTCTTTAACATTCTGGGTAACTTATGAAAAAATTCGTTGTTTAGCTGGTGTTGATGGTTTTTAAGTTTTAATGAATCGAAATTTTAAACGATGTAGTTTATTTTAGGATTGTTCTCCCTGCTATTGTTTCATAATGGTATTAACTAGTATTAATAGTAGTGTGGTATGGGTTACTTATATCCACATAAGTAGTATATCACGGTGGTCAGGCATAGAATGTATTTCAGTAGAAGTTCGATAAAGAAAGAATGAGAACGGAACGCAATTGGTATGAAAACGTATGAACAATAAAATCTGAAACAATGGATTGATGTTTACAACAGGAACACTCAAGTTTAACATGATAGATTGATAGTTTGCCAATTAACGGTTTAATATATAATTCTCAGATTTTATTGAGATGCTCTGTAATTAATTATGTGCCTAAATACATTCGATTGTCCTCCCCCCCAATTGGTGTTCTGTTCACTACAGTAGTATTAATAGCAGTAGATTAATGAAAGGATACCCTTAAAAAAAACAGTATTGAACAAACATTCTTTAGTTTTTTCTTCTTTTCTCTTTAACAATGTAAAATTCCATTTGAAATTGTCTTTCATTTGAATTTCACCTTTAGTTGTAAAACTATTTCTATTTTGATAATGATTATTATTCTTCATGTAAAATAGACCTATTCAATCATTCCTTTTCCAATTCATCTCTGTAATCTGTCAGATGGCTAACGACTAGAAGAGTTCATTCTTTCTCTTGAAATACTTTCACATATTCACATGTTTGTAGTTTTTGTTAACAAAGTTCTAACTACATAGGCTTCAATATCCTGGAAGAACAAATAGCGTATGAACTAATCGTTGATCATCGGTTACTATGAGACTGTATCTCTTAACATTATTCCACTGGCTTGTGGATTAGATCTTTACGTTGAAGACTCTGAATGTGACCTTTTAAGGAAATCATCTGCTTCGGTTTGCGAAGTATCCTAGCTCTCACATAAATCGAATGATTTATATGGTGGCGCATATCTATTTAGTGCCTCTTTGTATCAATGTTTATGTGTTTAAAGAAATAAAAATTACAATTTGAAATGATCAAACTTATCAATCTGTATGTAAGTAACGAGGAAGTCAAAGAAATAAAATGAATTCATGGTATTCTTTAATTGATATCATTGTTGATCTATTCGAATTTGTAAAGGGAACCAACCAGCTGACGAGTCACAAATAGGACGAAATGTGCGTCCTGGATTCCACTGCTAGCCATTATCCATCCTTGCTTATAATGTTTGTAAATTAAGGCCATACGCACAGTATGCACATATACCAATAAGAGACTGATCGATTTCAGTCCTAAACATCAATGCGAAGATTCAAGTGAATTTAAACTTCATCCTATTGTACAAACAAGTGGCTATCAGGACTCAGTAGTTAAGTGGATAACGCGATGCCGTTTGAAGCGAACGGTACTGGGTTCGAGTCCCAGATTGAACTTCAACTCTGAGATTCAGGTACGTTCAGCTGACAAGTCCTGGATTCCACTGCTAGCCACTATCCATATTTGCTCATAATATTAAACGTTAAAAACCTATACATATAATCCCGAAAGCAACTTAACAGCATCCAAACAATTCTATTGATCAATTAATTCGGAAAACTGAAAAACACAACTATTGTACGGTACATGATAATTATGACATCATACTATAGAAGTACAATTCTAACCAACAATATCACGAAACTAGAGCAAATACTTTTGTACAGATTTCAATGTCCGGGACATCTGAATCCAGGTAGATCTTGTGTTTATCGTTATCTACTTATATAAATGTCGCCAATTCTCGTATATTATCATCGACTTAAACCGCGTTGGTGAATAACAAAATTGAATAAATCAAATACGAGGATGAATTTTTGAGTGCGTATATATCGTTAATTGGAAAGCGAAGCAACTGAAAGTGACGCACGATGCTGAAGGCAAGTGAGCCAATTCGATTTAATTAAGTGTTAATCGATCTTTGTAGTCCGACAAAAATAAGTTATGGACGTGTGATGAGTAAGATAAGAAATGTACACCCATACCCTTACATAAAGGCAGTCATGGTTAATAAATGAATAATTGACGAGGTGAAAATATAGTTTGAGTAGAATGGATTAATTGGTTTGTTTAAAAGCTAGAATAACCTATGTGGACTTGATATAGTACCAGCCTCTACAAGATATCTAATATTAGCAACATCAACTATCCATGGTAAGTCGGGTCTTGCAACAATTTGTTATAAATACTGTCGTGGATATTTTCAAGAGGAAGAATACAACTTGGTTTTAGTGTGTATCGACCTGAATTAAAGAGAAAGATCACTATTAGGCGGAAGAGATCATAAAAATGCTAACTTATTAAAAACATGGCGGTAAGTAGAATTGTGATGTCTTGGATATTTATTCATTCATTCATTCAGATGTATTACAATGTAATAACAATGATTTAGGTAAATAAGGCCAATTCGATTCACCCCATTAGATTCTCATTATTTGATGCTGACAATGTGTAATATTTCAAAAATCCATATTCTACACGAAAGATGTCAACAGGAAACCCTGGACCTAGGTTTCATGCTACTTGACACTCTCACTAACGTACTCCTGTAATCTTGAGGGAACTGATGCTCCCTAATGGATTCGATCCCGTGTTACCATGCTTCACAGTCAGAGACGTTGCCACTGAGTTATCGGGCCGCAACTGACCTCCTGTAAGACTGAGATGTATTTACAATGGATTGATCACTGGGGTTTCCTGTTAACTACATCCAACCAATTTTCAAAGACATCCTCCTTCGGTGGTAAGGTCTCAACAAGTACGGAGGTGATACGAGAATTACTCACACAAAGGTTGAGTATGACCGACCTCAAGCAGTTGTCTCTTGGGCACTGGGTCACGCTCTCAGGTCAATATGACCACCTCTAATCTAATTTCCTTTTCGGGTACCTCCAGAAGAACCTTTCCACGGTGTGGGCGACCGGGAAGTGATAACCGCCCTCATACCTCTAATAACACTCAAGATCACCGTATTCATAATCAATCTCCCTCTTCAATCCCTATTTTTCCTCCTACATGGACTTTCAACACTAAACTTCCTCTTTTGGCTTCCTCCTCGAGTGTCACCATAACCAACGATTCTAGTGCGCAAAACATTGTCTCAGGTCTACTGAAACCTCTCTCCGAACTACACATTGAAGCCTTCAACGTACGCACACTATGTCAAATCGGCCAACAGGCCTCCTTGGTTAAAACTCTGGAATCTCGTACCATGCATGCCGAGTCTCCAGAACACTGACTGGCTAGAACACATGCAGGATCCTAGTGTGGTCATTCACTTGACCTCACTGACATGATAAGGCCAAAATGGGGAACCGAAGAGATGTACCCTCTGTGTATGTGACGATCCGATGGCTAGTTCTAGCGGACTGGCAGGTGTAGGCGTAGCACCAAGTATGAGGGCAGAACAAGCACTATTAAAATGGATTCTCGTTAACAGTCGTCTATGCGCTGTTCGTCTAAACGGCTCCGTATGAACTCGGAAGGATAGAGACACGCGTCGTTGCCTTTTCATCATTTCTGCCTACGCTCCCACTGACTACAGCCAGGATGAATTGAACGATGAATTTTACAGAAAGCTTTCTGAATTTCTTCATAAAGCTATACGTTCAGACATAGTACTTGTAGCAGGTGACTTTAATGCCCAAGTATGTGATCTAAACGAAACAGAAAGACATTTAGGTGGGTATTTTAGTATCCCGGCCCAGCGAACAGATAATGGTGATCGTCTGTTGCAACTGTGCTCAGACAATCGTTTATTTTTAGCAAACACAAATTTTAAGCATAAGGAGAGACATCGTCTAACATGACGATCTCCTGCACCAAATCAACGATGTACTCAAATAGACTATATTGCCATCAGTCATCGTCGGAGAGGCTCGGTAGAAGACTCGCTCGTCCTGGAACACGTGTTGGGACTCCGATCATGCTTTAATACGAGCACGCATTTGCTTGCACCTGATTGGACGCAGTAAAGCCACATTAAGAAGACCCATTAGAGTTGAACTCAGTAACGAGGAAGCCAAAAGTAGATTCCAGGAACGACTGAGGTTACAGTTAGGTATTTTCGGAAACGAGAATGACCCAGATGTTGCTTGGAAAGATAATACAAACAGCTGTGGAAACATCAGTAACATCAGTTAGTGAAATAAATCAATCAGGCTCTGAACACGATGGAGAGCGTAAACAAATCAGATCTAGGTTAAGCAAAAGTCTAAGGAACGACCGTGATCAGTGGTGGCAACAAAGCCAAATAGATGGAAAAGGTGGCGACTGTAGGTACAGAAGACAGCTGTACAGACTAATAAAAGAAACTGAATTAATAAGTCAAGTGTAAGTGAGACTATCTCGGAAAAAAAACGACACTCTCATCTGCTCCAGTCCAGACGTTTGAACGATGGGGAGAACATTTCAGGGAGCATTTCAGCTACTCTACAACTACACACCATTCCCAGATAGCGTTAATAGAACATT